TTTTGACAAAAAAATTTTTTTTTAATCAAGCCCCCCCCTTCCCCCCCCCCGGTCAAAGGCGTCCCTCTTTTCCAATCTGAAAATCTGGTCACCTTATCTTAACTTCCTATCTATGTGAGTATACACAACATTTTTGCTGCCTTAGGCCAGAAGCAATACAATAGAAAAACAGAATTCCAGAGTCAGAGGCTAATATTTCCAATGAGTTTGAGCTATAACACCTCTGCTGTATTGGTAGACCTGAGTCTATTTCATCCGATAGCTGACTTCTTGGAAAGTGTCTGGCTCAAATTCTATTAACTATAAATTCACATAATATCCCATTTAACTGTTACTCTGATAATTCTGTAAGCAGAATTATTTCCATATAACATTTGATCTGGGTGCTGATACACACACACACCTTTTTCAACTCACCCAACATTTCTATATACCCCTGGGTATCTTCTCCACAATGCATCTACCTCTGCACCCACTCCATGACTCACATAGCACTTCATGTGCATCGTCGCAATTTCTGCCACCCCATGTACTCTCCCAACCCATGAGACACTTCTTGTGCACCCTTTTGCACATTCAAGCACCATTCTTGGCCCATACAGTACTTCTTTTACACCCTCATACATCCTCCCTGGTCTGTGCAGCACTTGTGCATCCCTTTGCACTCTTGATCCTACTCAATCCTTTCCTACACTTCCTAGATTCCCACGTACCATTCCCCACTCAGCAGCAGTCTGAGACTTTTAACTTCCTGCTGGCTTCCCCACTGACCTTGGTTGCAGGAAGTTGCTTTGCCTAACAGTTGTGGGATTCAGTTGATGACAGCAACTGGGACTGTAGGGGTTGCCTTTGGTAGGTGATGCAGTTGTGTTTTATGATTGTATCACTTAATATTAGAAATTCTGGTCCCAATTGCTATCATAAGTTGGGTATTTCAAATCTCAAGAACTATAAAACAGATACATTCAACATATTTAAGGGGGCTAAGTTCAAAAAGCTTAAGGGATATTAAGTATCATGGAAATAAGTTCAAGATTACATCATTTTTGAAAGGTATGTATGCAAAAACCTATTAGTGTTCTATATTAGGCAGTGCATTACCTTTCAATTTTTCAGGGAATATTTTTATAGTTTAAAAAAATGAAAGGAATTAAACAGTCACAAAACCTAACTTTTGACTGAGACAACAAAGTGGAGCATTATAGAAACTGAATATTACCTTTTCCTTAATTGGTGTGTACTATTAAGATTGATTTATTGTCCCCAAATCTGACAGTATTTTTTTAAAAAGTTATAAGGAGGGTTTATCCATTCTGTAAGTAACTAAATCTGGCTCTTTGTCATTTTATGCATTTCTAGGGGGATTTTTTTCTTTTCTGCAACTATAAAATTCATTGCTGAGGCTGAACTGAACATTGAGGTCAACACCCTTGAGACTCTCATAAAGCCTTGCAATACAACTTTACCAGCAGACAGATACATGATGACATAGAAATGAGGCAGAGATGAAGAATGGTCCATTCTCCTTGTCCTAGCCATCCCCAAGTGAATCATCTTACAAACATGAAAGAATTTTTTTGTCTCCAAACACTACACCAAAAATTCAACCTCTCGATCAAGGCATAATCAAAACATTCAAAATGCACTACCGAACCCAACTTCTGCAGTGGGATATTGCTAAAATGCAAATCTATGAACTATCCGAAGAAGCAAAATCCTAACCCTTAACTCTAACTTAAGTGGATTAAGTGAGGAGCACACAGAAACTGCAGATTTTTCCAAAAGAAGAGGATGTCAGTCATTTGATAATGCAGATAAAGAAATTTGCTGTAGAAAAATGCCCACTGAGTGGTATAACCAGCATTGAGAGCTCATTCTCCTTTGTCATAAAAATAATTAGAAATAGACTAAAACTGACTCTTCTTTTTTTTTAAAGAGAATGATCAAACCATGAGAAAAGAATAGATACATAAATGTATTGATTTTGTATGATACAGTATTGTATGAATGATTTTCTTTTGTTTTCACAATGTGTGTTTCTGTATGATATTGTCTTAAGAAAAGCTTTATAATAAAACATGGCATGTGTACATATCAGTACAGTTGTTCCATATGTTGTCCACTTTCATTCAATCCCTTGGGTGTTTAACTTTCAGAGGGTTTACTGTATTTAGAAAACATGTCTTTAAAATAAAAATATCAATTAAACAATAAAATCACCATGTTAAGCATAACAGTAAGTAAAACTTATAAAACTAATTGTCACCACATAGAACCCACCTATACAAAAAATATTCAAACTAATAAAAAATAGCAATTGCTCTAGACTACTTCTATACTTTTAAAGCAGCCAAAATATTTATATTTAATTTTGCAAAGCAAAGCTACTAAATAGCAGCCTATGTTTTGTAAGTAATTTTGATTAATGAATTAACATTGTATTTTACAATATTGCATTTTACATTGTAAATGAAAACATGGTATTCAGAATGTTCTCTTAGAATATTACTATTTATTTTATATTTATCTCTTGAAATTCCATTTTTCCTTTTCTCTGAAGAATACAAATGGGCTTTCCTGAGTTTTATTCCCATAATAACCATAAACTGGGCTGAAAGAGAAACATTATTTGTAAAACACACCTTTGGTCTTTCCATTATTTCAGCTTCAGACCTTTATCACTTTTTAAATTAACAAACACATGATTTAGCATGACAGGGCCATCCAGTCAATACAGTTATCCAAACTAAGACTTCTCTTAAACTGTTAGAATAATTTTTGCTATATTCTTCCCAAATCCTCTCACTTGTCACTAAATACAAAACATCTTTCCTTTTTTCAGTTTTGAAATTAGAAGTGACTGGTCATTTTGAAAAGAGAGAACTTAATTTATCTATATAGGATGCAAAAACCTGCAAATAAGCATACAGCCTTTGTACCTGAAAATCTACTGTACAGCAGGACAGATAAGTTTGTTGTTTCTAGAAAAAAACTTAAAATGACCAATGGTATATCCCATTTCTCCTCCAGGTGCAGCACACATGCTGATCTCTGCTGTAGAACTAAGCAATAAAACACATGTCATCTTGTAAGCATTTCTATTTTCCCTACGTTGATTTTTGAATGCCAAAGGAAAAAACCATATCAGGATGGTTTTGGAAGGTTAGGATCCAAATAATCTCTGTTCACAAGCAATATTTCTTCATCAGTTTCATTCTTCTTATTGAATGATATGAGAGCTGATAATTTAAAATGCAAAGCCAGGCATGAGTTTTATTTATGGTACAGAGCTTTTTGGTTTGCTACATGTATCATTTTTACTATAGGCTGAGTTTGACAGAAAGGTTATTCAGATTTTGCTGCAAATTTGATTGTACATTGTGCAAAGTGTCTATGGCACAGACTGAATCCCGTTGCTGTGTTTCTTTGCTTTCAGTGTGTAGTGGAAAGTGTGGGTATATATAGTTAAGAGTATGATGAAAAACACAGGAGAGAAAAGGGAAAAAACAATGCACAAAATTTTTATTAAGTTTCTGTTATAAGTTCCTACCTGTGGGTCAGAAAGACGAGATAGGTCAGGATATAAGTAGAATTTTATTCCTTCAGTAGCCCCAGGTAATGTTACTCCTCGAACCAGTAGAATCAACAACATGACGTATGGAAATGTAGCAGTTACATATACAACCTATGAAAAAAGAGTGAAAAACCAAAGAACACATCATTTACTAACCTACTTTATGTCACATAATATCCTTATGTTCATAAAACACTTAATGTCTACAGCAGGATAAGACATTTGGCTATCTTGATATTTTTGAATTAAATTCTCCAGATTCCCTGCCTTTGATCCATCTTGGTTCTTCTGAGGGAAGCTGAAGTGCAAAAATCTGAAAGCAATGGTGTCCTAGGGGGAAGGGGAGGAAATGATGTAAGATTAATGAAATTAGTGTTGTGATACAAGTCCTACTACCTTTCTACAGGCAACAGAAGAGCCAAGGTGGCGCAGTGGTTAGGGTGCAGTACTGCAGGCCACTTCAGCTGTTATCTGCAGTTCAGCGGTTCTAATCTCACCGGCTCAAGGTTGACTCAGCCTTCCATCCTTCCGAGGTGGGTGAAATGAGGACCCAGACTGTGGGGGCAATATGCTGACTCTGTAAACCGCTTAGAGAGGGCTGAAAGCCCTATGAAGCGGTATATAAGTCTAACTGCTATTGCTATTGCTAACATGGCATTGCATACAAAAGGGGTGGGATGCTGCTGCTTTGATTCTTTTGAGGAAAGCTTCTGATTCTTCAGAAGCAATTCTTTTAAATAGTCATGGCACAAAAAGCTCCAGAATTATTCCTAGTATCCACATTAAAAACATCCTGGAAAACATCCAGTCTTTCTCTGACTGCTTTTAACAAGTATAAATCCAACCGAGGTCTCACTTTTGCCAAATTAATAACAAAAAAACACAGAATTTCGTAAGGAGATTCACCTCTAAATCAAAACTGGAATTAACATGGCAAATTTATGTTAAAAAGAGTACCCACTATTGGGGTGGCTATTTCCATTGCTAAGTGATGTAATCACTAAACAAAACATCATATGAAGGTGATGGTCACTTTTTCCACAGTTGTTAAGCAAACCACCCATAGTTGTGACAATCATGTGACTGCAACTTTTTTTTTTACCACCAGCTAAACTATTGGTTTTGTTTGTCAGAAGCCAGTTATGAATTGTACAAGTGACAATAACTCAACCATAGGATACTACAGTGATTGCAAATGACCACTGGTTTCAAAGTGCCCAAATGTTATTCACATGGTTGTAAAGTTACTTTTTCAGCACCACTGCAACTTCAGATAGGTGTACCAGTCATTAAATGAGGCCAACCTGTAGTAAAAAGCTATTTCAGAGCTACGTATTTTTTGTGAAACAGGTACTTCACACGGAAGAGAGTGACATTAAATGCCTCTGTTTAAATAATTACATATTTGCATCTTTTTACAGTCCTGCACATCTGCTTCATAAGTTTTTTTTCCTAATGCATATACACAAACAGCCACTCTGGCTCCCCTTTTTCTAGTGGTACAGGTAACGTATATGAACATTTAACCCAGTGCGCAACATTTATTTCAAAGATGTTGTAAGGCCTTGGTTTATTTGCACTGTTATCTCTTTTAACTAATTTCAAACCAAACCCGTAGAAGTTTTCAAATGTGGTTCATTGAGAGTTGCTGTTAGTTGTGATCCCCTCCCCTGGAAAAAAAACACTTTGCTGTAGCAGCTCCTGTCCTCTGGAATGAGGTTCCCCCCTAAGCTATATAGCCCCATTCTGCTGTTGTCTAAAAGAGCCATGCAGACTGTTTCTTCATCCAGGCCTTCAGTCAGGGAAAGTGATATACCTCCTTTCATCATATTTGCCATTTTGAATCTTTATATTTTATATTTTATTGATTTTATTATTATTATTATTTCATACCCAACCTTTTCCAGTGGAAGGTACTTCAATACATACACATCCAAATTTTGAGGACTTTGATTATTTCTTGAATAATTTTATTCAAACTTTATTAGGTTTCAAGCATCAAGGGCTGTTTTAGGGCTTTATGAAACAGATCCAGGAAGTAAAGTTCACAAATAAAGCATCTCACAGAATTGTATGCGCAGTCCTTATTGTTATTTTTCCTGCATGCATCTCAATAAGCAGTAGGCACTGCCTCTGCTTTTATTTTTAAAACTTTTCCGCAACATGTCAAACCTCTCTGAATAAAATTAGAACAAAACAGTTTCTAATTACACTACATCCTGCTTTAATTGCTTCTAATTGCTTGATGTACAAATTTGCATATCAATGCTCAAAATAGTTCTTCCATTGCTATGTCACAGCAACATCCATGTCTACATTAAGGGAATAAAGTAAATATGAAGACTTGCTGCGTCTGCAGGAATAGTTTAATTAAAAACGAATCTTCTGTGATCACAAATCACAGTGCACAGCATGCAAAAGAAGCAGGTTTAACCTTGTAGCCCAGTTCAAAAGACAAGAATCAGAGTAACCATATAGTATACTTCCAGCGAGCTGAGAAAATAGGAGCACTTAACATGGTGAATTTAGCTGCAAAAGTTAAAAATAGATTTCTTGTGCTCTCCTTACAACACAGGATGTCAGTTCAATCTTCACAGACTATATCACTGAAGCTTGAAAGCAAATTGAGTCCAGAACACAGAACCACCTACCATAAATTTCACTCCATGGCTTTGCTTATATCATGCCCATAAATCTTCTGATATGTAAATAACATTCCTTTAACTTAGTCGCTTACAATGTGATTTTGCTTGTATCATGTGTGTGCAATTACAGACATGCAATACTGTTCCTAAAAAGATGATAACAGAAACTCTCTGTTTTTGGAGAGTTATGCTTTTATCATGAATTATTATTTCAGGTACTGGCAAATAAATTACATGAACTCCAAATGCAGTAACCTATGAATGCATTTCCCATTGCTTTATCTTTTTTCTATTTCATGTTTTTGTTACTGAAAAACTACTGTCACTTTCTTCTTCCACTAATGTTTCTTATTTGGCAATCAGCTCTTTGGTATGGCTCTGCAGTAAAGATCCTTATCTTGCTCCCTCCTGTCTGGAGACTTCTGCCAGGTCTATCCTCACAATGGGGTTAAGAGAGAAGCAGCAAGAAATGCCTGATTTACTGCCCAGGTAGAGAAGCATGATAAAAGGTATAAATAAGAGGTCTCATGGGAATACAAATATGGGATATTTATGTTTAAGTGGCCACAAGCTCCTGGATAACATAAACTATATTTAGCTTTTTCTCTAAAGTGTATGACTTCCTAAGAGACACAAAAAGAAGATATTGCTCCCTCTAATTCATAAGACTGACACATCATCTCCACACATTTAATTACTTTTGTTACATAATAGCACCATTTGAGGGATACAGCTGGATGGTACAGTTTCAAAAACTGTTATCCATATATCACTTTTTTTTTAATCACAAAAGAACACTAATCTGAAATGGCTATTTCCTTCAATTTCAGGTTCTTTCACATCAAAGGGTAGCATAACCCTTGATACAATGATGTTTTTAAGTCAGCTTGTTGCACAGCCCGCTATTGAGACAGAATGACAGTATTAAAAAGGAGTGCAATTAGAAAAAAATATCACCAAACATCTATATCCACACTCAAAAGCAGTATCAAGCTACTGCTCCATATTTCTTCAATTTCTGACTAAAGCGACTGTAGGAAGTTAAAATCCACCCCTCTCCTAGAAAATGAAATATTTTAGGAAATATTAAAAGGGAGAATATTATATTTCCCTGGATGAGAAATGGAGAAACATGTTTCTAGGCAGAAAACAGACTCACTCTTAATAGCCCCCCCACCTTTGTCAATGGGCCATTAAGGCCTGAGCCAGTCTATTCTACATAACAAAGATCTACCTCCTTCAAACAGAGCCATTTCATTGCACTCACCACCAAGTTTCAACCAAACTTGGCACACAGATAACTACAAAGCAGTGGTGAAATACAACCAGTACAGACTAGGCAGATATAAATTCTAAGAATTTCAAAAATACATAATGAGAGTTTCCATATTAAAAATCTCAATGAACATTTATAGTAGATTAAATTCACTGTTTTCTCATATCAATTACTATATCAGATATACTATCAGAAACACTACTTTTAAGACATACGTAAACTTCTCAAGTTGGATCTTCCTACTTATGACATGCTTCTGCTCAAAGAGAGAAAAAAGAGATTAAAGCAAAAATAATTCTAGTTCATCCCTAGAATAATCCTTCTGGCCAACTACTAAGTTTGCAGACCACTAAAATGGTAAAGATGAGTAAGTGAATGGACTTCATTGTTTGTAGAAATAGAGAAAAATATAATGTTTTCAAAAATGGTTTCTATTTATATATATTTTACATTCACTGCCATGATTTAGCGGTAGATAAACAGAATCGTGATTGTGCAGTGATTAGAATGTAGTATTGCAGGCAAATTCTGCCCACAGCCTGGAGTTCGATCCTGACGGGCTCAAGGTTGACTTAGCCTTCCAGGGTCAGTAAAATGAGGACTCAGATTGTTTGGGGCTATATGCTCATTCCGTAAACCACTTAGAGAGGGCTGTAAACCACTTTGAAAGGGAATATAAATGTTAAGTGCTATTGCTAACCACCTTTCTGTACTCTATTGTTTAATTAAATAATAAATAATTAAAGATTGGATTTTTTTAAATGAAGAAATGTACCTTGCTGGAAGATTATATTTACATCACTCTTCCCAGCATAATGCCCCTTAGTTGCATTATGAATTCAATTACCAGATTCCCAGATAGCCAAAAGGACTTCTAACAATTGCTAGAATTGTTCTTGCAACATGACTAAAGGTCATGGTGAGAAAGGAATATCAATATGAAAATAATGTGTAAAAGTCCTAAATAGCTAATTGGTTATATTGCTTTCATGCATTATTACCCCTTTCAACTTTAATGTCACTCCTTGTTATCAAAATTATGTTTCTCAAAATTGCATATTGAAACAGGTAACACAAAAACAAAATAAATCTCAATTTTTGATGATCCAAAGATAGTAGGTCAAATTAACAAGAAAGATAAATACACAAATACACAAAACTACACACACACACACACACACACTTTACTA